CTCTTGGCACGTGGCGCCCCGGGCACCTCGGCGAGGGGCTGTGGGCACCTCTGCCTCCCGGAGGCTGCCAGGAGGTTGTGGGTGGCTGAGGGTGGGAAGTGGCCTGGGGGAGCCGACTTGGGCCAGGACTCAACTACGTGGAGCGTCGGGCCGCCGCCGAGTCTGGGGTAACAGTCACCAGTTTTGGAGGGTCTGAGTCTTTGGGCGCCCTCACCTCCTTGTTCCAACTTGCAGGCCAGACTTGCATCCCTGTCAACCGGTGGGCGGGGCACTGCTGCAAGGGGGCGGGCCGCGGGCGCTCGCGCGCGCTGCTGGCCAATCGCCGCTTCCTGAGGCTCGTGACGTAGTGGGCGGGCCGGAGAAGAAAACCTGACTCCGCCCGCCCTCCAGCTGGCGCGCGCGCGCACTTGCCTCCCTAACCCTCCCGTCCCGCCCTGTGGCAGTCAAGAGGGGAGGCCCGGAGGAACTGCCTCACTTTTCCACGCGGGTGAGATGAGATGTCGGAGCTGGCAGCAGTCAGGCTGTGTGGCCACCGGAGAGCGTCTGCAAAGTTGGAAAGAATGTTCCAGAAGCGCCTCTGGTAGCGGTGAGCCCCGCTGTGGGAGGCTGCCCCGGGGCAGGACTTCTGCGCCTGAGACGCGAGGAAGGCCCTGTCTGAGGACGAGCTGCAAGAAGCCAGCGTTTTGTTCCCCAACCTAAGCAAGTGGCATCCTGGTGCTGTGCGTGGAGAAGGCGTCCCAGGTGCCTTCAGTGTGCGCTCACCCGGAGTGTCTGCCCTTCTCAAAGCACCTTAGGGACTCCAATTGGAGTGTCTTGGGGCAGCCAAGCCACGGAGCGCGAAGTGTCCTTTGGGTGAGGAAGGCAAACCTTAGCGAGCAAGTCCACCCTCCGGGGTATTACCTCCCTAACCCCCGCAGGTGCAGACTCATTAAAGCCGGGTAGTACCCAGGACTTCCTTGTCTCAGCTCCTGATGCCTGGAGTATCTGGATTCACCTGGTCTTGTGTTTAAGCTCTGGATTCCTTTGGCTAAGGGAAGGGGGTGGGAGGACATCAAGGGCCGTTCATTTGGATAAAGGGCCACAGGAAGCGACTTTCGCACGTGGGGAGTCTCCTGCTGAGCGATTTTTTTTTGGGGGGGGGATTCTCCTCCAGTGACAATTCTTTCTTACCGGCATCCTCTCCCATCCTCGGCTCCCTGAAATCACCCGCAAGTCCCTCAGCCCCCACCCTGCCGTCTTCACCCACTCACCCTTCCTTTCTTTTTAAGTTTATTGTTTGAATACTTCGTATATGTAATACACTGCATCTTGATCAATTCATCCCTCAACTCCCCGCAGCGGCCCCATTACGTCTCCCGTCCAATTTCAATTCCTCTTCTATAATTATTTATTTGACCTACTGATTACAATTAGCCTGAGCACATGCATGTGAGGTCATTCACTGAGGCATGCATGGGGAACTCAGCCAGTGGTTACCCTTCTCAAGAAAAGTAACTCTTCCTGCCCCGGCAGTCAATGGTCAATAGCTCCTAAGGGTTGTGGGGCCCCTACAGCCCCTCCCTACTCATTGTTGGAATTCTTGCCTGATCTTGTGCAGGCTACCACAGCTGCCTGCCTGGGGGAACTTGTGAAGGAGGGAAAGGCTTCCTAGCTCTCTCCCCTATCCTGCTTCTACACTCTCTCTGTGTCTCCTTTCCCACGCGTTCCCTGAGCCTGGTGCGGGACGGGTGTGTGTGAAGGAGATGGCCCATGAGTGGCTGAGCTCACAATCGCCTATCCTGGGTGCTTTGAACGGTAATTTACCTCCGAATCGACCACCTCCCACTGCATTAAGCAAGCAGCTCCCCAATCAAGGCTGGGAGCAGCACAAATACTGCATCAGAACTCAGCCTTCTGTCTTTCACTTAGGAATTAAATTTATTAGCCGGGTGGTGGTGGCTCATGCCTTTAATCCCAGCACTCGGAGGCAGAGGTTCGATTCTCTGCACCCACATAATGGTTTGCAACCAACTGTAACTCCAGTTCCAGGGGGATATGGTGCCCCCTTCTGGCTTCTGAGGGCACTGGACACATATGATGCAGTCAAATATATACGCAGGCAAAATAAGTTAAAAAATTAAATACATTTACATGAGTATTATTGCTATACACAAAGTATATGGATATGTGTGCACAATTTAAAAATGCAAATGAGTCCATTTTTGTTGTGTATGTGTATATGGTTTCAGAAATGACCACTTGGTATTGGATAACCATTATGGGACTTCATCCTGGAAGGGGCCAATTCTCTCTCTCCCAGCAGTCTTTAGTTCTTTGCCTAGAGGTGGAATCCTATGAAACTTTCCCTCTTCTATGTTAGCATGTCTCTGATATTGCCATTGTTTTGGTAGGTTTCTGCAGCTATTTCTAGGAGTAAATATTAAAAATCATAAATATGTTTTTCATATAACCGTTATAACTGTAATAAACAATTGCATAGTGTCACAGATAGAGTCTGAGATGACACAGTACTTTGGTTTGCAGATGGAAGATTAAAGTGTGTGCCCACAGATTAAGCATGAGGAGAATATACTTCTGTACCTAGTTGTTTCTCCACATATACAAGATGAGTCAGCGAATTAAATGTTAAACAGTAGCAAATACACCAAAACAAGTATGGCCAGATGCTTTTGATCCTAGATGGGAAAGACCTAAGAGTAACAAAAAACCTGAGAAATGATGGAAGATAAAATGGATACAGTTGGCTGTCTCTGTCCATTCGCAGGCGTCTGTGCAGTGCCTTCTGTTTGCTAGGCTCTGATCTAGGCATTGGGGATTATGGAGCTGAGCTACCCTGCTCTCGCACAGATCAGGCCTGGCTGTGACTGTCCCTATTTGTGGCTTTTTAGGAATTTGAGTAAAGCATCCCCAGTATCCAGAGGGCAGATGGCAGCTATTGGAGGTCAACCACATCAAGGCTCAGAGAGGCTCAGAAGCAGTTAAAAGGTTGGGTGGAAGTCATGTTTCCCTTACTAGCTGCCATGATACAGTACTCTAGTGCCACTGATATAAAAACAGCTTTAGATCTGGTGTGGTGACACACCCCTTTAACTCTCCTGCCTCTGTGCCCCACTCAGGCTGAGATTAAAGGTGTCTACCACTACCCCTGGCTTCTTTAAATACTGTTCCTTAATACTAGTGGGAAAGATTGAAAAAGACAAGGCTGGGCGGTGGTGGCATATGCCTTTAATCCCAGCACTTGGGAGGCAGAGGCTAGTGGGTCTCTGAATTCGAGGCCAGCCTGGTCTACATAGTGAGTTCCAGGACAGCCAGAGCTGTTATTACACAGAAAAACCCTGTCTCAAAAAATGAAACAAATGAAACACCACCAACAAAAACAGGGATGTGGAAAAATGTAGAGAGACTACGACCTGAGAAAAAGTGCTGCTTGGAGCAGAATATCAGAGATTAGAAAACCAAGGCACATGAGGCTAGAACTGGTGAGCTTGGTCCTGAGGGGCCATGCACGGGAGCAGATGGGAAAACAGATGCCAAGCACTGTCGAGGGCAGCCTGGCCTCCATCCTCATAGAGCCCTGAGGTGGTTTATTCCAGTGAGTGTGGCTGTGAGCGCTCTGTAGGTTGAGGCAATCAGTGAGGAGTGTAGGAGATGAGGCTGTGAGATGAGGGTCTGGTGATGGACAGGGTCTGGTCAATCGAAGCCTTACAACACAGGAGACGGGTTTGTTTAGAGGGAAGGAGTGTGGTGATGATATGAGCAGACACACGTTTAGAACATTCCTGCCAGCTAACAGTTGGTCTACAGCAGTCTGAAATGTAGAGGGACCCATTCAGAAGGGAACTGGTGGCTGTGGTGGGGACAGAGAGGACTGAATACACTCCGGACACCCTATTGGTTGGGCTTGAGGAGGGAGCGGTGAACAAGAAAGAAAAGGCCTCCTTGCCTGTGGCTTGGGTACCCAAGGGGAGGGCTGAAGCCTGTGGAGATGGCCTAGGTCTGGCACTCCAACCTGCTCCCCATCCTTGAAGCTCTGCCCCAGGCTGTTTCTCGGTCCTGTGTCCCCCCAATTTTGTGTGTCCTTTATGCTGCCTCTTGGTCACTGTCTTTCTGAGTCTCTGGCAACCTTCCTCTTAGCTCTTTCAGGAGCAGAATCTAAAGGGAAAAGAGGGAAGTAGTTTCTGAACAGAGAGAGACTCCTGGTGGCTGGTCAGGTGGCTGCACAGTGCAGCCTGCTCTCAGGTCTGTCTCAGGGATACTTTAGAACTTGACTTAGTGAGGTTTCTCCAGAAAGCATCTCTCCTCTCCTAGTGGGTATCAGGCCAAGGTTCTACAGGAAGTTCCAAGGAGCCCCACTCCAGCCTAGCCAGGCCAGGCCTCACACACACGAAATCTCTGTGTTTCGGTATTGCAGGCTCAGGCCTAACGAAAGGCCTGCAGTCTAGTGCAAGAGGCAGAGGGATAATCACGAATGGCACAGGGGAGAGCTGATTATTCTGTGTGGAGTCATCACAGAGATGTTACTCAGAGCCATTCTTAGGGCCTTCAGTTTTCTGAGCTAGAGGATTTCTGCATCTGGTTGTACAGAGAAGGCTGTGTGGTGACAGAGGAAGAAGCTGGCTCCAGACAGCCAGGCTGTGCTTGGAATTCAGCCTATAGATAAACCAGAGCCACTGAGGACTTTTGAAAAAAAAGATGTAATTTTAATTTATGTGCATGCGTGTTTTATCTGTATGTCTTTCTGTGTACCGTGTGTGTGCCTGCTATCTGAAGAGGCCAGAAGAGGGTGTCAGGTCCCCTGGAACTGGAGTTACAGACGGTTGTGAGCCTCCATGTGGGTGCTGGGGTTGGAACCCAGGTTCTCTGGAAGAGCAGCCAGTTTTCTTAACCGCTGAGCCGTCTCTCCATCTCCCACTCACCGGCAACATTTTGTGCGAGGACTAAGCATCACATAACTAGAGCGGGTTTGTGGGCTGAAGGGAGAACTCAAGGCAGCTTTAGCAACAGTAGGGAGTCTGTTAGCTTATGTAACCAGAGCATGGGTTCATGTCTGAGATTGGGGCATGACGTCATTCCTAAGGGGTAAATGCTCACCCTCAGTATCATGATCCATCTACTAACCAAGACCCGCTGTCCTCATCACAGATTCTTTCCACTGGATGCTGTGTCCAGGGGCTTTCTAGACATCTTTCCCCTCTGCGTACATCCCCAGCGATGCCCTCTATCTGACGCCAGGTGGGACTTAGGTGCCACATCCTTCCTACTTACAGTGACACTCATGACTAAGAATAAGGGCCCAGAAATGGGCCAGTGGTCGGGTAGGTGCAACCTGCCCCCTGGTGGCTGAATCTTGTGAGTTCCTCCCCATGTCAAACTGGGCGTAGCACTGAGGCTCCTCTACCTACCAACTCCTTGGGTTGGCTTATAGCCACAGAGAGGGTCAGGCGTGTCTCCATTCCACCCAGCTGCCATGATTGGCTCAGAGGTTAACAGAAGAGGTAGAGTGTATGGTGGCCACTGGCAAAAAAAAAAAAAAAAAAAAAAAGGCAGCCAGGCTGATGAGTACAGGGGCTGGGAGGAGACTTGCTATAAAATTCTAGGCTCCAAGATGGAATATTCTCAGTGTACCTTTCCCCCATTACCTCCAAAATTCCAGATCCCCCTACCCAGGAAACTTGGGTACAAGAATGGCTACCTGAAAAACCTGTGTCAGGAGAGGACATAGCCCTACTCTGCACCCCTACTGTGAAGGAATCACTCCTGAACAGAGTGAACAGCCCCCATCTGCCCTCAGCCCAGGAGTGGCTTTGAGTCCTGAAGATCAGAGAGGCTGGGGCTGATTTCATGACTGGAACTCCTTAGGTGAACCTCATACTTTATGCCTGTCACACACACACACACACACACACACACACACACACACACGTGCTCGCGCGCACATACACGCACGCACGCACGTGCACACGCGCGCACACACACACATGCACACACACACACACACACACACACGCACGCACGCACGCACACACACACACACATACAGTTGTCCCACGCTACTGATGAAAAGCAGCAGCCATGTGTGCACAGCTTCATGCGTGTGATTTGGTGTATCTCTGTACATGTGTGGCCTACCTGAAAAGGCTACTGTCTTCTGCAGTCATATATATATGACATCAGCT